TTATCTGTCTTTCAGTTCCCCTCCCTGAGGACTGTAGTGAAGCGTCCCTGGCACGCATGCGCGAGCTCTGAGGGAAAGACAAGGAGGTAATAGGATACAAGGGCGGGCCAGACGGGTGAAAGAGGCGTGTTTGCGCTACCGCGTGTTTTTCTGGGCACAGCGCCGCTCTCTCTCTTTTTTCCATACCCTGGGCATCCCGGACGCCTGCAGCTTGCTCCGCCCTTGTTGCTTTCATACGGTCGCCGCATACGTCGGGGATGCGGCCGCGGCCGTTTTTGAGCTCCCCCCACCATATGCGGTGACCGCAGATTCTCCAGTCCGGCTTGGAAGTTTCAGCACCCGCCCTATAAGACGACACCCGGCGTATAAGACGACCCCCGACTTTTGAGAAGATTTTCCTGGGTTACAAGGTAGTCTTATACGCCAGAAAATACAGTATATTCTGTTTTGCAATTAATATTGTAGTTTTGGTTCCTATATGATTTGCATATAGTTCCTAAATAGTTATTTTTAAACAAATTCAGCAGCTGTGTTGTTAGAACGTTTAAAAAAAACAAAAACCTGAAAAAATAACTTTCCAATATAAACTGAATATTTTAATTTGCATATTTGTTAATCAAAATGAAGATTGCAGTTTAGCTTTTAATTTTATTATTTACTATCTTTTGTTCTATGTATAGTTACACTTTACTTATTTTATTCTTGATATGAAATTTAAGTGAACTTGCAATAGAATGGTATTACACCGGATCTGCTATCTTTACTTTTCTGCAGTTGTTTGTTTTTGCACAGAAAATGTTCATTTGTGGATTTAATAAAAAGAAATAATGCTCCCAGTGTTTTTACTCCATGAAAGGAAAATCCTTGATATCATTTTTAAATTCCACTCCACTCTGTCCCTGCAACTAACCAAATTAAAGATCCTTTTAGTAATGTAGTTCACGTTCTGTTCAGTAACACTGAAGATTTGACCAATGAGTGAGTAGCATTTAACAATAGGAAGAATCCAAATGAATAGTAGGAAAACCATTCTGTGAAAAAGATCTAGCTTTAAACAGTTAAAAAAATTAGCTGTAATTTTATTACAAGGTGAACTAGTAAGCTATACCCTTTCAATATTCTTTTTAAATTTCTTCAATTGGGGAGTATTACGCCACTGTTCAAGTTTTTGCATAGGCCAGTGTTTCTCAAATGCGATCACTGTGGCCACATGCCACCACCAGGAGTTTTTTGTGCCACCTGTCACAGTGGGTAGCAGCAAGGAAAGTCTCTGGCAACTTTCCTCTGCCTCCTCCCTGCCACAGTTTTTCATTGCTGTGTGTAGCTACATGCCACAGTGTGGACACAGCCTGCTTTTTTACTACAGCATGTAGCTACACACACCCTACATACCACTGCAAGTACAGATAGGGCCTTAGAGTACACCTATGTCAGTGTCTTTGAGGGCGTTGTTCTGAAAGAATCAGGTTCTCCCAAGATCACCAGCACTTCCAGACATTTTGTTACTCTGTAGCCTTCCAGAGTTGTATTTTGGGGTAAGGCATTTTCAGAGGCAAAGCATAGCTGTGCCAGCAGAAGCCCCAAATATGGACTGTTTTGCAAGTATAGCTGCATTCCCAATAGAAACATTTGCCAGTATTCCTACACCAATAAAGTGCTCCAAGTGTAGATATAACATAGACGAAGCCCTAGACTTCTAAAAAGCTCCAGGTAGCATAAATATATTAATTATGACATCTGAACCTACAAAACCAAAAAATGAAATAATAATGGGTGATTTCAACTATCTTCATATTTCCTGGGTAAATGTCATCTTAGGGCATGATGCAGAGAAGAAATTTCTAGACACCGTAAATGACTGCTTCCTGTAGAAGCGAGTCCTGGAACTCACAAAGGCAGAGGCAATTCTTGATTTAATCCTAAGTGAAGCACAGGATCTAGTCCAAGAAATAACTATAGCTGAACAGCTCAGTAATAGTAACAATAATGTAATTAAATTTAACATGCTTGTAGGAAGGGGAAATATTAAAAAAAACAAACCCATCACAGTAACATTTAACTTCACTTATGGAAATTAAAAAGAGTAGTCACAAGGGTAAAACGCCTGCAAGCAGCACAGAGACTATTTAAAGACATCATAATAGAGGCTCAGAGTAAACGTAGATCCCAAATAAAAAAAAGACAGTAGTAGAACGAAAAGAATCACACCATGGTTTAATAGCAGAGTAATGGGGACCATTAGAGGCAAAATGACATTCTTTAAAATTTGTAAGTCAAATCCTAATGAGGAAAACAGGAAGGAGAACGAACTCTGGCAAGTAACTTGTAAAAATGTAAGGCAGACCAAAAAAGAATTTGAGAAGCAACTTGCTAAAGATGCAAAAACTACTAATTTTTTTAAGTACATCAGAAGCCTGCTACATAAGCAGTGGGGCCTCTATATGGCAAAGGTGTTAAAGAACCCTCAAGGAGGACAAGGCTATTGCAGAGTAGCTAAATAAATTCTTTGCATTGGTCTTCGCTGCAGAGGACATGGGATCCACACTGGAGCTATTCTTGGCAGTATCCATTGGGCCAGCTGTGGAGTCATCTGGAATGCTGTGCTCATGCACCGGTATATGAGCCGCCGGCGGCACTACACTCCCTCAGTTCCTTCTTACCACATAGGTCGGAGCTCCTTCCCCTTGCCCCCCAAGTGGATAGTGGTTTTTCTAGTACCTATTGTCTCTTCTCTTTGTATATAGCTGTTAGTTAGTAATTAGGTGTTAAGTTGTAAGAGTTAGTAAGTTAGAGTCCTTGCAAGGACTTTACCCTGGGGCGGGGCATGCCCCGGTCTCCAGGTTTCAAGCCCTGTTCAGACTGCAATAGGCCTATGCCAGTTAGCGACCCCCATGGCAGCTTCCTAAAGTGCTTGGGAGAGTTGCACATAAAGGACAAGTGTTGAATTTGCAAAAACTTTCGTCCCGGAACTCAAAAGGAGTGGGACATTTGTCTGAGGGCCCGTTTTGTCCAGCCTTGGAGCCTTCCTCCTCTGACTCCACGCCTAGCTCCTTGGCATTGGTGAGGAGCGCATCGCTGGCACCGAGCTCCTCCCGGCACCGCTCCTCTTTGCTGGTGTTGAAAAAGAGAGGCTCCCCGGCACTGAACAAGAAAGGACAAGGGGCACTGGGCAAAGGGCCCAGTGCAGGCTGCCTGCCCATTCCGGAGCCTCAAGGGGGTGCCTTTCCATCTGGACCCCTCAGCCCCCCACTCTCTCCCCTCCAGGGATCCGACTCTTGAGAGCGTTCGGGGACCCAGGTACCTGGTAGTGCCTTTGACGTCTGAGGCCTTCTTGGTGGCTAGGGACCAGAGAGCCCTTCCTGCAGTGTGTAGAAAAGCCATGGGACCACCTCAGAGGGCAGCCGAATGCTGTCGGTCCCCATAGCAGAGGCAGCGCTCCCTGGCTCCATAACTGAGGTCTCTGGTCAGATGGTCCAGGTTGCAGGCACTGCGGTCCTGGTCTCCACCAGCGCAGCGCGGATCACCTGCAGTGAGGCACAGATCATCCTCCCACCCGCTGACGCCCCAGCGTAGGTCTCCATCCATGCATCGTCCTCCACTGGTACAGGACCATTCACCTTCGCAGCACCGATATCTACGTCCCCGGCACTGGTCCTTGGAGAGGCACTAATCACCTTATTCGAGGCACTGCTCCGCTGCACTTAGTATCAACTGCCAGACCCAGGCATTTACAGCCCCGCCTTGGTCACCGGAAGGGACTCATCTGTGTCGGAGTGAGACTTTAGCCTCTTGCCACAGCAGCAGCGACCCTGTGGGTGCCAGAGACCGTCTCGGCTCCTATGGTGCCAGCATGGCAGCAGGGGCCAGTGGCCAGCCCAATGGCCTTATTGAAACGTCTGGGGCATGCTGGCGATGCTGATGCCTTTCTCACACCAGTCCTCCCTTGTGGCTTCAGAGAAGCAACTCCCTCCACCGACCGTACCAAGTTTGGTGCACAGCCCGGACTCTGATGCTGGGGTAGAGGAGCAGGTGTGCACAACAAGGGAGCCTTCCCCTACGGGGGACAGTGCCCCAGGTCCTTCCACAGTGGTGCAATCATCATCCTTGTCACCAGATGAGGCAGTAGTGGGACCCTCACATGCTAGTTTGCCCAATGACTTTAGAGAGCACCAAGCCCTGCTTAGAAGGGTGGCTTCGAACTTGGGCTCAGAAGTGGAGGAACTGGCGGAGCAATCAGACAACTTTTTTGACGTTCTAACAGTGGCAGCCCCATCATGGGTTGCACTGCTGGTATATGAAGGGGTTCTAAAGCTCGCGAAGGCCCTGTGGCTAATCCCGTCTTCTATCCCACCCACCTCCAAGGGGATAGAAAAGAAACATTTCATCCCCGCTCAAGGGTTCGAGTATTTGTATACCCACCCACCCCCAGGGTTGCTTGTTGTATTTGCGGCCAACGAAAAGGACAGGCAAGGGCAAGTGAGTTCCAACCCCCAAAACAAAGATGCCTGGAGGTGAACCTTTTTGGAAGAAAAGCTTATTCAACAGCCAGCCTTCAGTTTAGAGTATTGAACCACCAAGCTTTGTTGGGGAAATACAGTTTTAAGTTGTGGGACTCCGTCAAGAAGTTCAGAGACTCCCTGCCTCAGGACTTGGGCCAGGAATTTGCTACCATCCTGGAGGAGGTTACTGCGGTAGTGAGGGGCTCTCTCCAGAGGGCCTGGGACACACCCGATTTGACAGCCAGGGTCATTACTTTAGGCTGTAGTGATGAGGCGCAGTTCCTGGCTTCAGTCCTCAAGTTGTCCCAGGAAACCCAGTCCTCCATCCATAACCTTCCCATTGAAGGAAACGGGCTCTTTTCAGAGCAGACGGATGCGAGGCTGCATGGACTCAACAATTCTTGAGCCACCTTCTGCTCGCTAGGTCTGCATATGCCGCAAATAGGAAGAAAGCAGTTCCATCCACCCCTGCCTCTCTTCCTAAAGAAACCCTGCCAGGGAGATGGAGACAGAGGGTTCAGTCATTGTTGCCTCTCCACCTCCTGTTTGCCCACTCAGCCTGCCTGGCGAAACACCAGGGGATCCAGAATCACTCCTTTTGAGGATGCACTCAAGGAATTGCAGGGTGTAGCCCAGATATATTATACCGAAAACCCAACAGTCTGAGGTTACTTGTGACCATGCCGACTGGAAGGGACGCAGGCAGGGCCGGCTTTAAGCAGATTCCTTGGAATCGGGCCCTGTGCCTCAGGGTCTTCAGTGGTATTTTGGCGGGGGGGGGGGGTGTCCGCTCTGGGGGCCTTCGGCGGCGGGGGGTCCTTCAGTGCCGCGGAAGACCCGGAGCGGACCCCCCGCCACAAAGTGCCGCTGAAGCCCCGGACTACCGCCAGGTATTGGAATCCTGGCGGTAGCCAGCCCTGGACACAGGGGATTGAGGAAGGTGAATTCTGAAAACTGACTGGTGTCCTATGAGGAAAGGTTAAAAAACAAACAAACCTGTGCATGTTTAGTCTTGAAAAGAAGACTGATGGGAGGGGGGTACTGATAACCTTCTAATGTGTTAAAGACTGTTATAAAGAGGATTGTGAACAATTGTTTTCCATGCCCACTGAAGATAAAACAAGAAATAATGAGCTCAATCTGCAGCAAGAGAGAATTGGGTATTAGGAAAAGCTTTCTAACCTGTAAGAATAGTGAAGTACTGGACTAGTCTTCCAAGTGAAGTTGTAGAATTCCTGTCATTGAAGATTTTTAAGAACAGGTTAGACAAACACCTGTCAGGGATAGTCTAGGTGTTCTTAATCCTGCCTCAACGCAGGGGGATGGACTAGATACTTCTCAAGGTCCATTCTAATCTTGCATTTTTGATTCTGTGATGATCTGGTACACATGAAAGCTCTTTGCAACAATATTCAAGACGCAATCTGATGTAATTTCTTTTGTCAGCAGAAGTATTGACACTGAAGTAAATTTTGTTGAACTATACAATACTTATTATATACAAATGAATATCCTTGCTTTTTATAGAGTCATTTGCCCTGGCTCCATAGTTCCAATCCAGGACTAGAAAAAGTAAGCGCTATTGTATGGGAGGGTAATGATTGCAAGAAAGCTGATATGTCAGTGCTTGAAATCAGCGGCATGATAATGAACAGAGTGAGTATTCTTTTCCTTTTACTCCTTGCAAACTATAAGTAGCACTCAGAATTATCATGTTTTGGGCAGATTTTCTCTTTGATAATCTCCAGCAAATATCTTTAGAAATCTTGCTCCATGAGATCTCAATCTGATTTTATTTTGTCACCATCAGGGTTACAAGAGCTATTGAATCTCCAATCTTAAAACCATGTATTTTAGATTTGAATTACTATATATCCATACAGTGAGCTTAATTGTTAGTCTTTATTTGTTTTGTTTTTTTCAGGCACTTGAACATTCTGTAAATGTTGGTCCCCCAACCAATTTCACTTCTGGGTTTTATGTGAATATCAAAAATTAGAAATATGTTAGAGATACAGCTATAGATATAAATATCTGAAAACTAGAGTTAAGGTTGGAAAAAAATATTGCTTACTTTATGAAATAAATCTTTAAGAAAATGGATGCTACATCTGACTGCACCAAAATGTTCCCAAATAAAATTCTCCTCTTAAGAGAAGCCCGATATGACCCTATGTGTCAGGGGTAGTCAGTTATTTTTTTGTCAAGGTCCAGACGCCAGAAGTTGTTGTTGTGGGGTTTTTTTTTTTTAAATAACTATAATGATAAGTAGTACCGGTAAATAAAGATTTTGGGGTCCATTCAAAAGCATCTGGTGGTCTGAATTTGGCCTGCAGTCCGCCTGTTGACTACCCCTGCATATGCTGTACCAATACTACCAATATGGACACCAGCAGAGATAGAATAGACTTCAATACCAAATCCAGACATACACAGCTTTAGCTAAAGAGAACCGTCTTTTGTTTTAGCGGTATTGAGTGTGTTATTCTCTGTGAACAAGTCATTAGAAGGCAACACAGTTACACGCTTAGGTGAACCACATGTGCCTTATCCACAGAGACAATATAGCCCTCTGTTATTTATTTATATTGTGATAACACCAAAAGACCAGGCAGGATTGGGGTTTCATGGTGCTAGGTGCCATACAAACATTTAGGAAGACATTGTCCCTGCAAAGAACTTACATTCTAAAAAGACAAAGATGCAGGGAAGGTGAACAAGATACAACATGTAAGCAAAGAAATTAGGTTGATTGGCACATACGTTATTTCACTGTTGTCTTTATTTTTAATAAAATTACTCAGCTGCCTCTCAGCCTATAATGTGTTTTAGTTCCTTATAAAAATAATAATTTATAGGTTAAATTTATTTACTAATTTTATTTTCAGTGTGCATTTAACTATTTTCACCTGTTTCTATAGCTACCTATCCATCCTCACCCTCAGTTTCATTGTCATTTTCTATATTCAAGGTATACTGTTTCTATAACAGTACATTTTGAAGGTGTTTAATAAATATTTTACATCTTGTATGGCTTTTTTTTTTGAACTGTCATTGCTAAACTGAAGTAATAACTAAGTTGTTGACATTAACAGGCATGAGATCAATTCTGATAATAAATGGATAACTTTATTTCTCCCATTTTTAGGTGAACAGCCACATGCCAGGAATAGGATACCAGATTTTTGGAAACGTAATCTCTTTAATCCTGGGTTTAACTCCATTTATATTTCGACTTTCCCAAGCTAAGGATTTGGAACAGCTAGCTACACATTCTGCTACTGAACTTTATATTATTGCATTTGGGTCAAATGGAGACATACCTGTTCTTTCTATGGTTATAATAAGTTTTGTAGTCCGTGTGTCCCTTGTATGGATTTTCTTTTTTCTGCTATGTGTAGCAGAGAGAACATACAAACAGGTAAGTATTCTATCAAGCCTCTCTTTATTACATTTCCTTTATGGAAGAAAAAGAAAACAAAGTATTATGCTTCATGAGTTTTGTTGGGCATAAATAATTTAAATTGTTTCTTCTTGGTGCTAAGGTCCACAGATCCATTACAGTGGACACTTCACACTGATTGTCTTGAGGGGCAGAACCAGACCTGTCAGTCACTGGCAGATGGGGAACACCTTGCCCTTTGAAGTTCCCTCTAGTTTTATCAGCCTCTTTTACAACTAGTGACTCAGTAAGATATCCCTGCTACAGTTTTTTCTGAGGAAAACTTTCACCTTTTATTTCAAATTTCTGATGAACACTTTAGCTCAATAATTGTCCAACTAATTCTTAGCCATGCCCCAGAGCTGAAGTTCCTCAGTCCCCCTGTACCCCGTACAGCAGTGTTTCCCAAACTTGGGACACCGCTTGTGTAGGGAAAGCCCCTGGCGGGCCGGGCTGATTTGTTTATCTGCCCCATCCGCAGGTGCCGCGGTTTGCTTTTCCAGGCCAATGGGGGCTGCTGGAAGCAGCGCGGGCTGAGACGCCACTTCCAGCAGCTCCCATTGACTTGGAGCAGCGAACCGCGGCCAGTGGGAGCTGCGATCGGTGGAACCTGCGGACAGGGCAGGTAAATAAACTGGCCCTGCCCGCCTGGGGCTTTCCCTACACAAGCGGCGTCCCAAGTTTGGGAAACACTGCTGTACAGGAAAGGAGTCAGGCAGGATTGGAATAGCCATCTCCAGGGGCAAGCAGCTCCCCCTTCCTTGTTTTCACAACAGGAGTGATGCCAGATGGGCCGTGCTCCAGGTGGAAAATAGTGTCTAAATCGTTAGAGCCCATGTCAGCAGCCACACTCCTGACTGAGGAGCTCCAGTGTCTTCTCCTCTTCTGCCTCTCCTCAGGCAGTGTATGGAGGGCATTGGCTATAGCATGGACACTGCCAACACTGGATAATCAGGCCCAGCTTCCTCTCCCTGCTGACATCTCAACAATAGGCCTCCCAAGGGATCCCTACTGATATCCCAGGCTGGGGCTATCCAGGGGAAATGTAGAACCATCTGTTTTTTATAGATTCCGTACAGTAGATAGGGTTAGAGCCTCTGGGGAGTCCATTCTTGAATCCCTCAGTACCTTACCTGAGAGATCCAGAAGGGATCTATACTGGGGAGACAAGACAATGAGCCCTGCCTGCTGAGGGCAGAGAGATTGCTAGCCACTTGGAAATCTTTTTGGAAGAGTGTCTTAGCTTAATTGTGTTCCTCTCTCTGAAGTTCCCCTGTTCACCTTCATAGAGCATGGGTTGGCAGATAAAGGTGGAAAAGACCAAACCAAAGACTTGGGGGAGGGGAGGGGACGAGGGGGATATTTTTCCTTAAGGAAGGAAGGCCTGTTGTCCATATCAGAGTTAAGGGATTAAATAATACAATTATATATTTTAAAAAGACAGATAATCTTTCAGGCAGAATACGGAGTTCTATGAAACTATAATTAGGAGGTCTGTGGCTGCTGAACGTAAGCTATAACTACTTATCCTTCCCCATCTTTCCTAGGAAGATACTATAACGGGTTTTCAAACTGGGGGTCAGGACCCCTCAGGGGGTCGCGAGGTTATTACATGGGGGGTCGCGAACTGTCAGCCTTCACCCCAAACCCCGCTTCACCTCCAGCATTTATAATGGTGTTTAAATATATAAAAATGTGTTTTTAATTTATAAGGAGGGGTCGCACTCAGAAGCTTGCTATGTGAAAGGGGTCACCAGTACAAAAGTTTGAGAACCACTGTACTAAAATAGAGAAATGGAGCTTTCCTACCACACGTAAGAAACTAGCTATAGGTCACCTACTCCTTACCAGGCTGTTTTGCTCAGTTATCACTCTGGGTTGCCATGCTTAAAAGTACAGATTCTTCTTCGAGTATCTGTGCATGTTGATCCCAGTACATATGTGCCCTACACAAAGGAATGGAAATCTTTTAAGTAGCAGTGTTAGAACTGCAAATGGACTCTGCATGCCATTCTGCCCGCCGTCCCCACCAAACATGCTCAGTGGCATAAAAGGTGGAGTTGCCCCCGAACCACCACTCAGTTTTTTCTTATAGCTTTTGACAGTGAGACAGACCAACTACATTGTCTTCTTGGCTACTGTAGTCTCTGTGTGGCTATATAGCTAGTGTAATTACAATACTTAGTTTTTCTTTATTTTTCATATATATATATATATATATATATATATATATATATATATATATATATATATATATACGTAACG